TTTTGTACAGTTACTCAAATTTGTGCAAAAACCACTAAAGCCATTGATGATGAAATTTAAGAATTCTAGTTTTGTGCTCATGGGGAACCTGTACATGGACCAAGAGGCAATTGTTCAAACAGAACATGAGAACATTGAATGGTTTAAAATTAGGAAAGGTTATATTCTTTCACCATACTTATTCAACCTGTATGCTGAGCAAATAACCTGAGAAGCTGAGTTCTGTGAAGAAAAATGTGGCATCAGGATTGGAGGGAGACTCAACAATCTGCAGATGCTACAACCTTGCTTGCTGAAAGTGAAGAGGACTTAAAATACTGATGAAGCTCAAATACCACAGCTTTCGGTGTGGACTACATCTCAATGTAAAGAAAACAAAAATCCTCACCACTGGACCAATGGAGAAAAGATTGAAGTTGTCAAGGACTTCATTCTTCTTGCATCAACTATCAACACTCATGGAAGCAGCAGTGAAGAAATCAAATGACGTATTGCATTAGGCAAATCTGCACAAGACCTTTTTAAAGTCTTGAGGAACAAAGATGCCAACTTGAAGACTAAGGTGCGCCTGACTCAAGTTATGACATTTTCAGTAACCTCATATGCATGTGAAAGTTGTACAGGAAATAAGGAAGATCGTAGAAGAATTGATACATTTGAGTTATGATGTTGGAGAAGACTATTGAAAGTACCATTGGCTGCCAAAAGAACAAACAGATCTGTGTTGTAAGAAGCGCAGCCAGAGTGCTCCTTGGAGGCCAGGATGGCCAAACTTCATCTCTCATACTTCGGACTATTTTCAGGAAGGATCAGTCACTGGAGAAAGATATCATGTTTGGTAAGGTAGAGGGTCAAAGAAAAAGAGGAAGACCCCCAGTGAGATGGATTGGCAAAGTGGCAGCATCAATGGGCTCAAGCATGGCAACAATTGTGATGTTAGCCCAGGACCAGCAGTGTTTTGTTCTGTTCTGCATAGGGTCGCTATGAGTCGGTACCGACTCTATGGCACCTAACAACAACAACAAGAACTTTTTCAGTCTGAAATTGATCAAACATGCAACCAAGATGTATTGATAATTACTGGTGATTGGAATGTGAAGGTTGGAAACAAAGAGGAAGAGTCAACAGTTGGAAAACAAGGCTTTGGTGATAGAAATGATGCTGGAGATGGCATGATAGAATTTTATAAGACCAATGACTTATTCGTTGCAAATACCATTTTTTTTTTTTTTTGATCACACAACTTGAAGAATGTAATTAATGTCACTGAATTGTACATGTAGAAATTGATGAACTGATGTATAATATTTTGCTGTATATTCTCAACAACAGCAACAACAAAATAAATACATACAATTTTAAAGGGAGAGAATGGCAATTTACAGAGGAAAGTGACAGTCCAAATATAATTCGGAATTTCCAAACTAAAAGAAATCTTTTTAAATCCAACTCTATGTTGCAAAAATGAATTGAATGAATTGGTCTCAGAATTCAAACTAAATACACTAAATACATATATATATGTAATTGTTGTTAAGTGCTATCAATATATATATATTGTGGTTGTTAACTGCTGTCTAGTCATTTCCGACTCATAG